GGGTCCGGCGTCGGCCGCCCGAATTCCCTCTTCCCCCGCCTCCGCCGTGCCTCAGGCCGCACCGCCTCCGGAGCCCCTTCCCCGGCCCGCGGACCGCGGTCGGGGGGCCTGGGGCTCGGGCAGCGGTGGGGGAGGGGGCTGCGTGGTCTCAGCCCCCGAGAGGGGAGGGGCGACAATTTCTGTCGGCCGAGCTACTGGGGTTTAAAGGGCGGCTCTTAAAGGGGCCGCAGAAGGGGCCCCGGGCCGACGAGGCACCCCCTCCCCACCCGCCCCCCCTGGCTCTCGCCGGAGCCGCTGGGCCGTGAGGAGAATGCAGAGGAAGGCGGCGTTTGGTCCGGGGGGCCTAGGGAACCGAGCCCCCGCGGTGGGGTTGGGTCCGAGGCGGCGGGCAGGGGGGTCTGGGGCGGGTGTGTGGCGCGCGCTGGCGAGCGGGGTTGGGGGGGGGGGGGGGGCTTGGGCCCGGGAGGAAACAGTTAAAGGTGGGGCCAGCTCCACAAACAGGCGCACACACTCTTTACTCAGACCTGGGCACACTCGCTCCCCTAACCTGGCGGGGCGCGGGTGGGGGCTCTGCGGGCCACACGCTGGGCCTGCGCCCTCTGCACCCCAGGCCCCCGCTGCCTGGCCCGGCGAGGTCGCACACCCCACTGCCCCATCGCGGCGCGCCGAGCCCCTCTCCGAGCGCACACACGCTCCCGCGCGCACACACCTCGGACATTCCCATAGTGCCTCACGTGACTCGCGCCCGAACGTGCCCACCCTTCCCACACGCTCACGCACGCGTGCACACTCGCGCGCACAAACACAGGGCCTCGGGCCACTTCCAACTCCATCCCGGCCCGTCGTCGCAGCCCCGCAAAGGCACTCGCTGGCTGTGGCTCACCCACACCCATTCACAGACACACTCCCCCCACGCGCCAGCCACAGACACACATTCATAAACAGGGCCGGCGAAGCGCACACCCCCTCCCCGCGCCTACTCCTTCGGGAGCCCTGAGTCATCCCTGCCCCCTCCCAGGGCTCCCCACGTTCCTGTGTGCAGACACACAGGGCCAGACTGGGGAACCTCCGGTGGCCCTTTTTCCCTGAGCCCAGCCCCCTTCCCCCCTGTGCTCCCTCTGACACTGGGCCAAGGACTTCCTGTAGGTCCTGGGTCAGGGGTGTGGGGGGCCTGGAGGGCTGCCACAGCCTTTTGTGCGTGGGGAGGCACTTCCTCTTCCTGAACTCTGGGATCCTGCAGGAGGAAGTTGGGCAGTTGGGCGGGGGCCTCAGAGGATGTGCTGTGCTGACCAGACCCTCCCAGAAGCTCTGGGCCTTCCTTAGGGAAGAGCTAGAGGGCTAGAGGCCTGAGATGAGGAGCTTGGCAGAGAGGTATTTGGGGAAGTAGGGGTTGGGGGGAGTGGAAAAGTGGCTGGGAAGTGAGCCAAGGCAAGGCCCCTCCTGGCCACCAGTGCTGGGAAGACAGCCCTCTCCTGTCCACAGGTCTTCTGGCTTCTGGAAGGCGCCCCTTCCTGCTGCTGGCCTGGCTCACTGGTTCCTACTTGTCACCCCTCTCCAGTCCTCACCTCGTCTCAACCCCTTCCCCCAAAGGCAGCAGAGATGATGGGGTTTAGTAATCTGGGAGGGGCCTGTTGTGAGGGTGCAGGGAAGGGAGGTGTCAGAGAAGTGCTCCAGGCTGGCCTCCCCACCATCGCCCCTGCTCTCCCAGGAGGCCCAGGGGGGTCCGTGGCCCAGGCCTTTGCCATGGAGTCCATGTTTGAAGATGACATCAGCATCCTGACCCAGGAGGCCCTGGGGCCCAGTGAGGTGTGGCTGGACGCCCCTGAAGATCCCTCACTAGGGGGGGACATGTGCTCTGCCTCCCACTTTGCCCTCATCACAGCCTATGGTGACATCAAGGAGCGGCTGGGGGGCCTGGAGAGGGAGAACGCCACCCTGCGCAGACGCCTCAAAGTCTATGAGATCAAGGTCAGAACCTCGAGATAAGGGATCTGTGTGCATGTGTGTGGTGGGGGGGACGTGGTGGGAATCGGACACCCAGTAGAGATCCCAGGGATCCAAAGAGCGTTCAGACTCTTGGGAACTTGAATGGTCCGCATGAGGGATGTGGCTCCGTAAGAAGGGAGGGGAGGGACTCACTATGCAGGGATGGGACCTGGGATCTCAAAGAGATCTGGTGGGAGACACCTGCAGGCCCATGGGCCGGGAAGCACAGATCCCGCTGGAGGGTGGTAGAAGGTGGGAGGGGGGGGCTGGAGACAGGTTGTGGGGGGAGGCACAGCAGGCTGAAGCTCAGCAGGGAGCTTTCCTGAAGAAGGCCTGCCCCCTCCCAGTACCCGCTGATCAGTGACTTTGGAGAGGAGCATGGCTTCTCCCTGTATGAAATCAAGGATGGCTCCCTGCTAGAGGTGGAGAAGGTCAGCCTGCAGCAGCAGCTCAACCAGTTCCAGCATGAGGTGAGCCCTCACAACGCCTTCCAGCCCAGGCCATGCTCCCTGAGCTCCTTGCTCCAATCTGTTTCTGACCCCCCACCCCATCTTTAACTGTCCTCCCAACCCCACCGCACACACCTCTGGTCTTTGTCCCTTTAATCAGGGGTGGCTGTGGTCCTCCCTAGTCCCAGCTGCAGCTCCTCTCGCTCCTCCTTTGGATGCTGGGAGGGAGCTGCTTAGCCCCCAAGTGAAAGATGGGTTTCACTGTGGAGTATACCCCACCCCCTTGCACCCCATTCAGTTACAGAAGAATAAGGAGCAGGAAGAACAGCTCGGGGAGATGATCCAGGCTTACGAGAAACTCTGTGTGGAGAAGAACGACCTGGAAACAGAACTGGGGGAGATGGTGAGGCCCAGGGAGCTGTGGGTGCTGGGGGTGTGACTCCAGCTGTGGGGCTCTGTGCCCCCTCTGTGTATAGTGAGTGGCCTTGTGCTGGGGGCTGTGTGTGTCATGCAGGTGTGTTTACACCTGGTCACACAGTGACAAGAGATGACTGTGTGAGTGACCCTGTAGGACATTGCCCACACAGGGCTGACCCTGTGCCTGTCACACAGCACCTGAAAGTCTGTGTAGGTGAGGACAGAGGTCATCTGGTTGCTGGGGTGGGTCTTGGTCTGAGTCTGGGGTGGCCAGGCGTGTGAGTGGGTGGCAGGTGTCAGAAACAGGAGACGTCATCTCTGCCAAGTTCTGGCTGTGACTTAGGTCAAGTCGCTAAGACTCTGTCCCTTGTCTGAAAAGTGGGGCAAATAACCTCACTAAGCTGTTGCGGGGTAATGGGGCATTCGTGTAAAAATGCTTTGCCTTGATAATCATGAATGTGCCACTTACTATGTGCCAGGCACTGTTGTTATCTCTTTACAACTATTTACTAGTTTTAATTCTCATGACAGCCCTAGGAGGGAGGTGTGGTTATCCCTGTGCCATAGATGAGGAGTATGAGGTGGTTAAGTCACAGGTGCATATGGAACTTATGATGCTCCCGAGGATGACAGGGTCTGGGTAGGGGGCTGAGCGTGCTTCTAAGTGCCCCTGTGTTGATGATAGGGCAGAGGCACTAACTGTGACCTTGCAAGGGGCAGGAGCCAGAAACATCTGCATTGCAGATGCTGGGAAGGGGACCTCACACTCATGGCCACTTGGAGAGTGGAGCTGGGATGTGTGACCTGGAGCCTTGGCGCTGGTTAGGGGCGGTGGGGTGGTGGAAGCCAGGGTTCAGCAGACCCACAGTGGCACCCTGGTCCCCGGCAGACCCTTACCTTTGTCTCCCCTGCAGCGGGCCCTGGTGGAGACCCACCTGCGGCAGATCTGTGGTTTGGAGCAGCAGCTGCGGCAGCAGCAAGGCCTGCGGGATGCAGCCTTCCCCAGCCTGAGCCCCCCACCAGCCCCCGCCCCTCCCTGTGCTGAGCTGGACCTGCACTACTTGGCAATGAGAGGGGGATCTGGCTTGAGTCATGGTGAGATTGGTTACTCTTGATTTCCCTACCCAAAGTCCCCAAACCTAACCCCGTTTCACTAGCACTGGGCACCTCCAGCTTCTCCGATCTAGTCAACGCTCCATCACGTCTTAAAGTTCTCGGGTAACTACCCCAGCCTGCCTTATGCTGTTCCCTCTCTTCATCCACTGTTGTCCCATCTTCCCTCACTCTGTCCCTCTTCCTTCCTTCATTCCCAGGCTACCCCCATGCAATTCCTGTTTAGGCCAGCAGAGGGCACCCCCACACTGAGTCCCCTTGCCTGTCCAAGGTTGTGAGTAGGGGAGGCCCCTGAGGATGTTTGGAGACTTGAGTTTGGCCAGGGAAGTCCTACAACCAATCATCTTATTTTTTCCCCTGGGCTCCAGGAAGATTAGAAAAAGGCAGCTCCCTCCTCACTGCCCTCAGTAGAGGTATCTTTCATTCTGGGCTCTCTGTCTCTCTTGAAGCCCTCACCTGTTCACTTGTGCTGATCCGGGACTTAGCAGACCCAACTTGATATTGCTTTCTTCCCTGCCAGCGGGCTGGCCAGGCCCCTCACCGAGCATGAGTGACCTGGAGCGCAGGCGGCTGGAGGAGGCTCTGGAGGCTGCCCAGGGAGAGGCCCGGGGGGCCCAGCTTCGGGAGGAACAGCTCCAGGCTGAGTGCGAGCGGCTGCAGGGGGAGCTGAAGCAGATGCAGGAGACCAGGGCCCAGGTAAACGGCCAGGAGGGCTGGACCCTGAGTCCCTCTTCTGTCGCCTCTAGAGCGATGTGGAGATTTGGGGGCTGCTGGAAGCCACCTTTAGGGGTCCAGGGCTTGGTCACTAAATGGGGATGGCAGAGAAGGGGAGTCCTGGCAGTGTAAGGTTGGCATCTGATCTCTCTATCTTCTCCCGTAGGATCTGGCCTCCAATCAGTCGGAGCGGGACATGGCGTGGGTGAAAAGAGTTGGGGACGATCAGTAAGTTACCACTGTATTTCTTTCCCTCTTAAACCTGTCCTTCAGGGGGCACCTCCCAGGTCCCCACTTGGTTCGTTTCTCCCCCTCTGCATTGTTTGGGTGACCTCCCTTCCAGGCTGTCATGGGTGAGGTGTTTGCTGTTTCTTGTGTGGTTCCTTCACGGGAAGGAGGTGAGACTCTGGTACTTTCCTTTTGCTTCCCTGTGGCACCCAAGCCCACCTCCTCTTGAGTGTCAGGATCAGGAGACACTCCCTCAGCAGTGTTACTGCTACATGCTGTGTCCCTGGTGCATTGTGGGGCCTTTCTGGGGCCCCATGTTCTACCCAAGAACTAAGGCCCTGCCAGTGGGTTACTCCTCCCTCCCCAGTGAGGACCAAGGAGATGGTCCCTTTCAGGCTTTGTTGTGCCTGCTCCTGTGGGGAGAGAGAAGGCTGAGCCTTGGGAGAGGAGAGCTTCCTTGCCCTCACACAACAGCAGGGTGTGCGCTGCTGGGGTGCTCCTTTGGAGTCCTGCCAGCAAGAGGGGCAGCAGGAAGTAAGGAGGAGCCATGTCGAGGGAGTAACAGGGTGGGGGTCTGGGGAGTACTGGGCAGCAAGGAGGGTGAGTGGCAGCCAGGCAGCAGGAGCCCAGTGCTGTTCACATCCGCACCCAGCGCATCCTCTCCCGCTTTCTGAGAAACACAGCACAAACCTCCTTCCGCCTCAGCCCTGTTCCCTGAAATGAGTCCCATGGCACAGACTCCCTACTTTCAATGGAGGGGAAGACCAAGGCTCAGAGAAGTCAGTAACTAACTTTTCATCACACAGCATGGGACCCTAGGGGTCCCTCTCATGGTAGATGAGTCCCCACCGTCCTCCTGGCTGAGACACCCCCTCATCTCGCTCCACGTGCTGGGTTGGGACCTGGGTGGAGCTGTGGCAGCTGGGGGGTGAGAACCCAGTTCATGGCACGGTTGGGTGGGACCCCACAGCTAGACTGTTCAGGGTGTGGGGAGGGTCCACCCTAACTAGTGGCTGGGCTCAAAGGCCATCCTAGCCATGTGCCCAAACCCGCAACACACACACCCTCATGCTCTCACACATGCACAAGTTCTAGAATCCTAGCTAGCCCCAAGATCAGCACCTTTTATGGGTCACTGAGCCCAACCCTGCTGGAAGACCAGAGGGCTCCCTGGATAGGTTGACTCTGGAGAGGACATTTTGGCAGCCAGACTCAGAATCCCAGGGACCTTTCCTGGTCTTTGCTTTCCCTCTGGCCCCTGGTTTCCCTCATGGGTCAGAGGTCCGTCATTACGGGAGAGGAAGAGGACAGAGGAGCAGGTCAGAGGAGCCGCAGACCCGGGCCAGACAGAGCCCCTCCTGTCAGGTGCTTGTGGAGATCAGCTCCCATGTTGGTTCCTGTCACCGCAACAGCCCCTTCTTCTCCCCAGCCCGAGGCGCCCACCCCCTGCCCCTTTGGCCAGTGGGAGCGGGTCTCCACTCCGGAGCCAGCAGTGTCCGTCCAGCCCAGCCTGGGGCTCTGTCGCCGGCTCCTGGACTTGAGCCTGGCCTGCCCAGACTGCCACTTCCTTCAGGCCAGGCGTCTCTGGATTGCCCCAGCCTGGCAAGAGTTAATTCTCAAAGGAAGTCCCCACTCCCCCGGTAGTTTTATTTTCTTATAAACTCAGCTCCTTTTGGTAATAGGTTGCTGCTGAGTGCTCCCTCCCGTCTCTCCCCGCCACCTGGAAGGCTCTGTCACCTGCTGCCCGTGCGCTGTCTCCACAACCCTCCTCTTCCTTCACTCCTGCCTGACTCCTGGGCTAGGAGGGCTTTTCCCTGCCGGCTCCCCCAGGACAGGAAGGCTGTGGGTTATCCAGAAGGGGCGGCATTGGGATGAGGAAGAGCCAGGATGTCTGCGAGTGGAAGAGGGGAGCCTGTTCCCATGTGGGAGTATCCTGTGCCCCCCCCACCCCGTCCTAGCAGGACATCTCCACCACAGCAGCGTGGTTTCCAGAGCTCAGGGTTCTGGCAGTTAACTGCCTGCCCTTTCTTATGTGGGTCCTGTTGCCATTCTCTTCCCTGCACTGGTCCTGGCTGAGGCAGCCCTGGCCCCAAGGTTTCCCAGCCCTCCCATCCCTGCCCGCCCCACCTCCGCCTACAGACTCTGGTCATCAACGGTCCTCTGAAACGGGGCCCTGGGGCCACACCAGACTGCCACCACCCAGGTCTGACCTCTGGACAGGAGCACCTGACGGCCACAAATCCCCCAGAGGAAGAGCTGCTGGGGGGTCACTCAGGGGCCAAAGGCAGTGATGGGGGTGTGTGTGCAGAGGTGGATCCCACTTACTTCTGAGGTTGTACGGGGAGGCAGAGATCCCAGGACCCCTGGAGGGTCCCAGCCAGGGTGGCAGGTGCAGGATCCATGGCTCCCTCCCCACTGTGCCTGGCCCAGAGTCACAGGGCTCCTGAGAGCTCCTTTCTGAGGGTGCAGTGAAGGGTAAGGGGACATTGTGGAGGGGGGCTCTGAGGGGACAGGGGCTCAGTGAGGGGGACTGAGGGCTCAGGAGGGAAAGGACTCATCCATGAGTGGCCCATCAGTGAGGGGCCAGTGAAAAGACAGGGGTGCAGTATGAATGATGAGGGGGGAAACTATAGGCTTCTTTTTCCCGACGTGGGGGGGCTCAGTGTTGCAGCCTGGGTTCTTTTCCGCCCAGCCCCCCCCCCCCCCCAGCCCTCTCTCCCCCCCCCCCCCCCCCCCCCAACAGCCCTCTCTCCACCCACAAGCCTCTGCGTGGGCTGCGGTTTGTAGTGGGGGAGAAGTGTGAACTCAAGAGAGAGGATGGAAACTCTGCACAGAGGTCAAGGGCAGTGTGGGGTGGGTCAGGACGGAAGTCGGAGACCCCCATGTAGCCTCACACCCCAGAACAGTGAGCCCAGGGTCCCCTCACCCCCCCTTCACGCTTCTCAACCTCTCAACTTCCTTTCTTTCAAGTCTCCTTCAACCTGGGCACCCAGAGCTCACAGGAGTTAACCCCTGAGACCTTGCAGCTTTGGGGGCTCCCCAAGTAGAGGAGGAGTTTTGTAGTTGGGGGTCACTGCCCCCTCCGAGTTGTGGCCTGGGGGCTGGTGGCCTTCGCCCGTCTGGTCTCTCCTTGCCAGCAGCGCAGAGTGCTGTGCCCGGGCTCCCTGCCTCCTGCTCTTAAATCAGCCATGAGCCTGCGTCTCCAAGAAAGCACCAAAACTGGCTGCCCCCCTCTCCACCTGTCTCCTAGGTAGTGCACCTACATCTCAGGGAACTCCCATGAAACATGATTAAGGAATTGTTGCCTTTTACAGCTCAGCACGCTGAGGTGCAGAGAAGTAGCTAGAGAAATTCAAGTGCAAACACCTCCAGGTCCCGAGCGGTGGAGCAGCGTCACCTTTGCTGTGTTGTTCTGCTTCAGGCTCTTCCTCAGGTGGGAGGCCTGTAGGGGGGCCACCAGGTGATTTGCTGACCAGATTGGATCACTTTTGAAAGTGAAAGGGGGCACTATTAATAATTACGCAGGGGAAGCTAGTGTCAGCCAGGACGGTCTGGGGAGAGGGGTGTCACGGCTGCACTGTGAGCCCTGCCCAGCTGCTCAGGAGGCTTTCGAGACACCGTGAGCACCTGGCTGGGCTGGAAGCGGCCAGCCCCCACAAGGAGCTGGGCCCTGGGGACCTCACGTCACAGCGGAGAGTGAAGGGGCTTACAGCCAGCCAGAAAGGAAGTGGTGGAGTACTTGGTTGGCTTGCTGCACACTGACTTCCTCCTCTCCCTGGCTGGCCGGCCCGCAACCTCAAGGGCTCTGCTCCAGCCCTGCCTGCGGTCCCTCTCCAGGGCCAGGCGGGAAGGCTGGTGCGGGGGGTGTCTGTGTTGGGAAATTTGGTTCCTGAGTTCCCCCAGGGGTGAGGGGCTGGGGGCCAGCAAGGGATGCCAGGCTGGGGATGCTGGGTTTCTGTCTCCTCTCCTTTCTGACTCAGCCCAGTGATTCTGACCATGTGACCTGTCCTAATCCTGAGTCCCATCCTAACCCCAAAACTGCTCCATCTATGACTCCTACCCCGCCCTGATCTGACTCCTGAGCTCAGCTGACCTCAAGGCCCCCCCTAGCTCTAATCTCTTGACCCCACACTGGCCTGAATTCCCCCCTCCAAGCATCGTCCCCACAGCGCCACTGCAACTTGGGGCACCCAGCGCCCTCCCCTGGAGAAGACACTGCCCTTGGAAGCCACGTGTCTTCCAGCTGTTTTGGAGCAGAGAGGCTTTTGGTGCCTGGTCTCTAACCCTTGTCATCTCTGCTCCAGTCCCTGTCAGTAGCAGTGAAGGTGATTATCTGCAGACGAATTTTTGAGATCCCTGAGCTATTCGCAGAAAGAATGAGCGAAGGGGTAAGTCGATGATGGATGGAAAAACGAGTGGTGGAGCTCTGCCATTTGCACTTTGGCTCCTCCAGAGGTGCCAGTGCAGCAGGCTGAGGTGCCAAGCTCGAGTTTGATCCCTGCTCAGGGCCACCGCTCTCTGTGACCTCGAGCCAGCTCTTCGCAGCTCTGTTCTGCTTTCACGCATCTCCAGCGCCTTTCTGTCCTCTTCCAGGCAGGGCTGGCGCTTGCTGCTCGTGCTCCCAGGCCCCTTCCCCAGCTCCCAGCCTCCTCTTCCTCGTGGTCTTTCCTGTCTGCTGCCTTCCCACCTTCCTGCTCCTCATTCCTGATCCTTTTGGAAGGCGGTTTACAGCGTAGTGGTCAGTAGCCTGGACTTTGGAGTCCAGGGGTCCAGCGCGTCCATTCGAGCCGCTCCACCAACTGCTAGGCGTTGGTCCAGTGTCTTAACCCCTGTGTGTTTTGGGCGTTTCATCTGTAAAATGGGGATGATTATGGTGTCGGCATCATGGTATGAAGATGAAATAAAGTTCTTAGCATGATGCCTGGAGCATAGATGCTCTTATAGATGAGCCATGATTCTCTTCTCCCTGGGGCCCTCCCCAGGTTCTGAGAGACTCAGAATTTCCCTCATCGTTTAAGTACTAAGGAAGCACCCAAATGCAGCCATCTGCTGCCGCTCACCCAACCCATCCTTCCCAAACAGTCATGATGGTGGAAAATAGCGCTCAGGTGTAGGCCAGGAAGCCAGGAAATGGAGTGTGTATTTAGGTGCACGTGTGCAACTCTTGATTGTGTTGTGAAGTTGAGATTTTTTTCCACTGAATTGGCAGTGTGTTTCCTAATGTGAGTCATTCCTCTCTGTCGTATTTAGCAGCCTGGGCCTGTGCATCTTGAGGTGGCTTGATGACTGGGGGAGGTCCTTAGGGCCATCAGCATGGGGTCCTCGGGTGCGCCCGCCCGTCCCTAGGGGCTGAGAGGGTTTTGTGAGGGCTGCGTGGGCTGCTTGCCCCAGCGCTGGGCATTCTGGGCTGGGGGTCTCTTCCTTCCATTTCCTGCTTTCCTGTCTGTTTTTCTGTGAAAGGGCACCAGGAGCTTGGCAGTAGAAATTGGGGTAGCTCCTGACAAGGAGAGGAAGGCACGGAGGGGGAGATGGGGCCTGGGAGCTGATGTGGCAGGTGAGAGCTCTGCAGTGGAGTGTGAGGTGACGACCTGTGTCACCTGAGCTCAGCCAGGAAGGCAGCTGAGAAGAAGAAAGGCTGCCCGATCAGGGGAGAACGGTCCCTCTGTGCCCTGTGCAGAGCCCCCTCCTGTCCCACCACCCTCTGAGAGCCCCCATCTCACGGGGAAGACGTGGCACCTCCAGATTGCCCTGGTCTGAAGGGGGAGCGTTCCCTGGGGAATTCCCAACTTAATGAAGGACAGTTGGGACCTCCCTGTTGATGTGGGAGATGCCACTTCTCCCTACAGGTGCTTGAGATGAGGTTGGGGGACACAGGACCCAGTTAGCTGTCATAAGCACTACAGAAACAGCAAGAGTTCCTGAAGGCCTCCTTCATCTCTGCTCTTGTCCATCCCTGCCCACTAGTGATGGGAAGCATCCTCCTTCCAGAGGTCCTACCCGTTAGTTAGCAGTAAGCTGCCTTTAGCCCAGACGAGTTAACCAAAGCCTTGTGCCCCACCGCTCAGCCCAGCTCTGCCCGAGGATCAATAAGAGGGGCCAGCCTCAGCCAGCGAGCAGAGCGGAGCTCAGGCAGCGTCTACCCTCTGCACCTCGGCTTTTCCTGCCCTCTGAAGCCTAACCTCACTACTTCCCCTCCTCTCCTCTGGGGCCACACACACACACACACACACACACACACACACACACACATGCACACGCCATTCCTCATACTCGGCCTGAACGCACACCTTCCTCCCTCCCTCCTATCCACATACATCCTTCCACAGGTCTGACGCCTTGGGCCAGGCCCTCAGGGTCCGGAGACCCCCCACCTATCCCTCCTGCTCAGGGCCCCACAGTGCCTGGGGCTCAGGGCCTCTGTCAGGAGATCGCCCGCTGGGGGCAGCTTAGCCTCTGCCTGTCACTTCCCTCCAGCTCCAGCTGCCAGAGTTCTGGAGTTGGTGGAGGAGGAAACCAAAGTCCTTGCCTCCCAGGCTCTGTCCAGACCCAGAACAGAGGTGGAGGTCATGACCCAAGGCATGGCAGAGCCACCGCAGGTCGGGAAGGGCATCTTGTGCCCACGGGGCAGAGTGAGGGGGGGTGGCAGGGGCAGCGCCGAGGGGCAGTAACGCGCAGAGAGGAAGGAAGGATAAAGGAAGCCAGGTAAGTCTTTGCTGTGCTCACTCTGCTCCAGCTTTGTGAGCGTGTCTGTCTAGGAGGCCTAAGCAGGAAGTGGGGAGGAAGAAAGGGAAGAAGAAAGAGAAATGGGTAGAGAAGCTGTGTCATGATCCACTGCCTGAACATCCACTGGGCCCAGCCCTGGAAAGTGCAGTAAAGAATGATCCCCTCCGGCACTCTGGGGCTTTGGCACTCTGGGTCTGGAACAAAGCCGCTTTGGTGCTTGGCGCCCTCAAGGTATGCAGTGCGCAGTGGCTGTCCACACAGATCTGCTCAAGCTGGAGGAAGCTTCCAGGAAGCTTTGAGGCCGAAGCCAAGAGCCGTGACCGGACCCTGGCAGACTTGGTCCAGGTTTATCAGTTGGCCAAGCCCAGAGGCCGAGTTTTCACCTTTGGATGGGGCTCTTGTAGACTGCACGGCGTGGCCCCCAGGCTTCACGGGGCTCCTGCCCTCCACACAGTTACACTTGCACGCTCTAGGAGGAAATTCACAGTGGCCAGAGGTATACTATAGACTCAGCTTTTTGATGAATCCATGTTTCATAGCCACCCTAGCTCCTGCACGGATTAGAAAAGCATTCCCACATACCTGCATGCGACAGGTGCAGGATGAGCCATGCTCAGAGAACACGTGGAGGCAGGGCCACTTGGAGTCACAAGACCCCCCAGCCCTGGCCCACAATCCGCCACTGCCCTAGCCGCTGTCAAGTTCACAGGGAGGAGAGGGAGGCGCCCTGGGACAGGTGGCATTTGAGGTGACCTTAAAGGCCCAAAGGAAATCTGCAGTTGGAGCAGAAGGGCCCCGAGGGGGCTTGTGGGCCAGGTGCTGGGGCAGAACCAGCTGTTCCTCCACAGCGTGACAGCAGACCTACCTACTGCCTCGTGCTCTCCCACCCCTGCCCTCTGACCTCAGGATCAGGGCAGACTGGGGCGGAGCCTTGAGGCCGGGTGTGGCTGTTCTTCAGGGTGAATTTGGCACTGGCTTACACGGAGCTGACGGAGGAGCTGGGCCGCCTCCGGGAGCTGAGCGCCCTGCAGGGGAGGATCCTGAGGACCCTGCTTCAGGAGCAGGCCCTGAGTGGCGGTGAGAGGGGCC